TATAGACGTATGTGCAGTTTAATTATTATTAACGACTGTTTATAAGACTGTTTTATGACAAAAAAAATTAATAAATAAGCAAAATTTTCAAATATTTTGTATCAACTGGATAGATTATAATAAAAAAACCACACCTTTAAAAAATCCAGCAATGAAATTTAATAAATAAATAAAAATCAATCGAAAATGTTTATTTATTAAATTTCATTGCTGGATTTTTAAAGGTGTTTTTTTATTTATTAAAATTTTCAAAGTAGGATGAAAAAATAATGATAATCTATTGCAGGGATGTCCAACCCACGGCCCATTTAATATTTTTATGTGGCCCACTACACCCTAAATTTTTTACATACATTTTTCATTTACTGTATTTTGGTAAAGTATGTTATAAAAATTATTGTTTCACTGGATACACTTTGTTATCGTAATGACATAATTAATGCTTGAAAACTGTACTATCCCACATGCATAACATACTGTTGTGAGCAATTCTTTTCGTGCATGAAAAACATCAAAACTGCTGAAAGAAATAAGTTGAGTGATTCCTATTTAACTAAGATTCTTAGAATTCAGACTAGTACCATAAAAGCAGATATTGACAATATTATACAAAAATCACATTGAATTTATTTTTATTTTGTGTGAGTATAATTTTTTTTTTTCGCTGTCAATAATTCAGTATTTTTGTAATTATATATATTTGTTATTAAAATTTGATATTCACATTTTGAACTTTTTAAAAGTGTATATTTATATAAAGTATTTTTGTGGCCTACTGAATATATTAAAATTTCTAATTTGGCACATTAGGAAAAAAGGTTGGACAATCCTGATCTGTTGAATTAAGATTAATAAAAAATACTTTAAATGCATGAAAAATACAATAAAATTTGGACAATAGATTGATTAAAAGAATCATTTTGCAAATGACATAAAAATGATAAGAAGAAAATAAAATTGGTGACAGGTAGATTTGAAGAAAAAATTTGGAATAGTTTGGAAACAGAAGTACCAGTACCTTAGAAAAATTTACTAAATGCATGAAATGAGTCATTATTGAGGATAGTAAAGCAGAATTCAAAAGTAAATTTACTAAAAGTAGCTTCTGAGATGGAAATGTTTTTTGGGAATTTTTAAATTCAGAAACAATATTAAAAAACAACAAAAAAGTGAAGAATAACTAGAAATAAACTATTGGAAGTCTTAATAAGATGACAAAATTACAAACCTTTGTTCCTAAATTTTTAGGAGTTTTAAATTTCTTTTATAAGTATTAGCTATTGTTTATAACAATAATACTTTTATCAAAAATTCAAAACTCCTAAAAATATATATGTTATGGACTAAGTGATTATTATAGGCATTATTCATGTTGCCTGTTTTTCATTATGAATAATGAAAAACAAAATTGGACACTGTAATAAATTTCAGGATTTTTATCACAATTTTTTAGATTGATCGGTCACTATGAATACTGCTATCACTTGGTCGGGCAAAGTGATGATAATACCTCGAGGAGTGATCATCTGACTTACGGTAGCCAATCGGCACTCGTTGCTGATTTGCACATGCAAATTGCATATAGTATCAAATTTAAAAAATTTATGCGATCAGTAGTTAATATTGTATGAGAGTTTAATTTTACTTTTGCCTCTTAAAATATTGTTTTCTTCAATTAGTAATTAAAATTCACTGTGTTTAGTGTTATTACTCGTTTTTTCGTTAATTCGAGTGCTTTCGATGAATATATATTTCCGTCGTCTTCAGGCGAATAAAATGTTTTAATCGAACATGAACGTTCGATAGAAGAACACATAAATTTAAAATTAAATAATTTTCCATACGATTCCGCAACGGTTTGAATTACGTGCGATGTTACGAATATTACATCATATTCGTAACATCGCACGTAATTCAAACCGTTGCGGAATCGTATGGAAAATTATTTAATTTTAAATTTATGTGTTCTTCTATCGAACGTTCATGTTCGATTAAAACATTTTATTCGCCTGAAGACGACGGAAATATATATTCATCGAAAGCACTCGAATTAACGAAAAAACGAGTAATAACACTAAACACAGTGAATTTTAATTACTAATTGAAGAAAACAATATTTTAAGAGGCAAAAGTAAAATTAAACTCTCATACAATATTAACTACTGATCGCATAAATTTTTTAAATTTGATACTATATGCAATTTGCATGTGCAAATCAGCAACGAGTGCCGATTGGCTACCGTAAGTCAGATGATCACTCCTCGAGGTATTATCATCACTTTGCCCGACCAAGTGATAGCAGTATTCATAGTGACCGATCAATCTAAAAAATTGTGATAAAAATCCTGAAATTTATTACAGTGTCCAATTTTGTTTTTCATTATTCATAATGAAAAACAGGCAACATGAATAATGCCTATAATAATCACTTAGTCCATAACATATATATTTTTAGGAGTTTTGAATTTTTGATAAAAGTATTATTGTTATAAACAATAGCTAATACTTATAAAAGAAATTTAAAACTCCTAAAAATTTAGGAACAAAGGTTTGTAATTTTGTCATCTTATTAAGACTTCCAATAGTTTATTTCTAGTTATTCTTCACTTTTTTGTTGTTTTTTAATATTGTTTCTGAATTTAAAAATTCCCAAAAAACATTTCCATCTCAGAAGCTACTTTTAGTAAATTTACTTTTGAATTCTGCTTTACTATCCTCAATAATGACTCATTTCATGCATTTAGTAAATTTTTCTAAGGTACTGGTACTTCTGTTTCCAAACTATTCCAAATTTTTTCTTCAAATCTACCTGTCACCAATTTTATTTTCTTCTTATCATTTTTATGTCATTTGCAAAATGATTCTTTTAATCAATCTATTGTCCAAATTTTATTGTATTTTTCATGCATTTAAAGTATTTTTTATTAATCTTAATTCAACAGATCAGGATTGTCCAACCTTTTTTCCTAATGTGCCAAATTAGAAATTTTAATATATTCAGTAGGCCACAAAAATACTTTATATAAATATACACTTTTAAAAAGTTCAAAATGTGAATATCAAATTTTAATAACAAATATATATAATTACAAAAATACTGAATTATTGACAGCGAAAAAAAAAAATTATACTCACACAAAATAAAAATAAATTCAATGTGATTTTTGTATAATATTGTCAATATCTGCTTTTATGGTACTAGTCTGAATTCTAAGAATCTTAGTTAAATAGGAATCACTCAACTTATTTCTTTCAGCAGTTTTGATGTTTTTCATGCACGAAAAGAATTGCTCACAACAGTATGTTATGCATGTGGGATAGTACAGTTTTCAAGCATTAATTATGTCATTACGATAACAAAGTGTATCCAGTGAAACAATAATTTTTATAACATACTTTACCAAAATACAGTAAATGAAAAATGTATGTAAAAAATTTAGGGTGTAGTGGGCCACATAAAAATATTAAATGGGCCGTGGGTTGGACATCCCTGCAATAGATTATCATTATTTTTTCATCCTACTTTGAAAATTTTAATAAATAAAAAAACACCTTTAAAAATCCAGCAATGAAATTTAATAAATAAACATTTTCGATTGATTTTTATTTATTTATTAAATTTCATTGCTGGATTTTTTAAAGGTGTGGTTTTTTTATTATAATCTATCCAGTTGATACAAAATATTTGAAAATTTTGCTTATTTATTAATTTTTTTTGTCATAAAACAGTCTTATAAACAGTCGTTAATAATAATTAAACTGCACATACGTCTATAATAAATTTTAAAGCATTTATTTAATTAGAGAGCTGAGATTTAAACAACCATGTAAATTGAATTTACATATACTGGTATATGTTATTTTTATTCAAAAATATATGTATTAATATATAGTTTTAAATATTTTAAAGTTGAAATGAATAACTTTTAAATGTTTCAAATGCATAATTAATATTTCTATTGTTTGTATTAGTAACAGTATGACTCATTATAATTTCAAATAATCTGAAGCTTGTGAAATGTACAGAATAAAAATTGTTTCAATTTCACATAAAAATATCCTTACCTGAGGTATCTGTAGATGGTACAAATGCAAAATCATCCACATCTTTCAAACCTAAATTATATTCTGATCGTTCTTTAATCGTTGAACCACTTACATGCATTGCGTTGCGACTGGAATCATCATTCGTAAATGGTTCTGTGCCATCAATACCAATTTTCACGTAACTAGTGGATGTATTTGAACTTGAATCTGAACTTTGTCCATTCTCGTTATTGAATCCCTGATTATACATTACGAAGATATCGATGGATATAGTTTAAAATTCGTAATTACAGAGGATACCATAGAATCAGATTGTAAACATTTGCTAAGTTTTAAACCATTTAAAGTCCCTTTAACGTGATGCTACACCTCACTCATAAACTTATCGTATTATAAATATTAATATTAATTTTTTAAAATGTTATTATATATATAACGTTTGCGTCAATATCGTTAATATTCTGCTACAGACTAAAAATAGTTAAAAATTATTTTTACTCATATTACTGTATATAGAATTCGATTTGATGCAAATATATTAACACGGAGATTCGCCATTATAGTTCTAAATGATATCAAAAGATGGCTTTACTGTCGTTTTCTACATCGATACCGTTGTCCAGGAAATATCCCTTTGGAAACGAGAAATATTTTTTGTTATTATAGAAATATAAATTAAATAAATATTTTTAATTAGAAATATGAAAAGTTTATTCTATAAGATAAATTATTTTTTTTTGTTAGGAATACAAAATTAATACGTAAGAAATTTATTTTTATAAATTGATTTAAAAAAGGGAAATTATTAAAGTAAATTTTATCTTCGTCAATTAATTTTGTATTTAATTTATTAATTTATACCAGTATTTCATATTATTATTTAAACTTAATAGTATTAAGGTTTAATAAGGTATATGTAAGGATGCGTAAGAATTTTACGTAAATTATTTATTCGGTTCAGGGAAAATTCCGGGAAAGTTTGATAGATAGTGAGAAATCGCGGGAATTTGGAAATTGACAACAGAATGGGTATACAAGGATTATTGCCGTTTCTGAAAAAAGCGAAAAAAGAAGTTAATATTAAAAATTTTAGTGGTTGTACAGTTGCGGTAGATACTTATTGTTGGTTACACAAAGGTGCTTTTTCATGCGCTGAAAAGTTAGCGAAAGGTGAAAAAACTGATGGGTAAGTAAAATAGATGGCAAATAGATTGTATATAATTTTATGTAATATGAGGATTTTCCCAATTTTTTTATTTAAACAAATCAGTCCAAATCATCATGTGTAAAATAAAAATTCTGCTTGAAAAATCTTTGATATAATACCAATCTAAAGTCTTTTTAAAGTAATTTGCTATGTGTTTTTAACAAACAAAATAGATTATATAAAAGTACAATAAAATAATGTAGCTTATCAATACAATGGCTGCATTTAGCAAACTCGACAGTTCGGAACTGTTGAGTATTTTTTGCCGAATGCTCTCTACAGCAACGCTCTTTCAGAACATGTTTGGTGTTTTGATGTCACATTTGGTAGTGTCTTTCATTTATGCTACCTATTACTACCTGAAACTGACCAATGAAGCTTTTTGTTCCAATGCATACATCACTTGTTGTTCGGTAGATCCAGATTGCTACGTAACGGCTACAGATTTTCTCAGTTACAACTGTTGAGTCTGCTGAATGCAGCCAATGACATCAAGTGTAAATATACAAAATACAGTGAAACCTGCTAATGTGACCACCAAAGAGACAAGCTCAAAGTGGTCCCCTTATGCAGAAAGAGGGATTACAGTGTGGAGCAGAACTATACTCCAGTGTAATTTTTTTAAAAATATTTTGAATTATTTAGAATAGATAAAAAGATATGTAAAATTTTGTCCATCAACATCATCTAATGACACATACCAAATATCATCCTATCGATTAATCCATCAAGTTATGCAAGAACAATCATTTCACAGTGGCAGGGATCGCACTTCATTTATTAATGTGGCAATAAAAATATAATACTGATGGTAGCAAGTGATGATGAAAAGCCTAGTTTGCTTATTTTGACATTCAGTTTGAAATTAAATCAAAAAGCATCCTCTCCTTATTGCTAACAAGAAGAGGGCCATACGTTTGACTCTCTGATTTGAACGAAGCCTGGTGAGCATGTAGCCTTAAACACAAAAGCTCCTTGTCCAAATAATAGGACCCACTTCTCAATTGTTTCTGAAAAATATAAGCTAAACAATGAATTTTCAGAGGCCTAAGTCTGAAAGTTTAGCAGTGATAGCCAAGTGGATAAGACCACGGGCACTGGTGCTAGATGGCGTAGATCAGACATAAAACTGGCACACAAACTGGAAATATATACTAAAGCAACCACTTCACACCTAAGCGATAATTCCAGCAAATGAACAACAAAAAAATTTTAATGTTCAAACGTTTTCGGCCGTCTTTCAGATGCCCTCGTCAGGAAAAATTGCATGGAATAGAAAAACAGTTCTATCTTTTTCACANATCATTTATTCAGATTATAATAAAAATGATTATTATAATCTAAAAAAAATAACCAAATAAGAATATATATTTAAAATAAATTCAAATCTTAATGACTGTAAAGTTTTATAGATAAATTTACAATATTTTGTCTTGTTTTAAAGTTTTTGGATTTCTCTATAATAATTCTTTATGTACAATATCACATCTTATGTCATCAACCAAAATTTAATTTTAAAATACCAATTTTGCATTTTTTGTAATGACAATAGTATCTGAATTTATTTAAATAAATATTTAAGTTGGATGTTGTAAGTACATAGTAAGCATAAGTTTTAATGTATTAGCATTTTTATATTTATACATTCTCTAATATTGTAGAAAAGTTTACTTATAAATAATATAAAATATAAGATTTATATTAAACACATGACTATATTTTATAAATTATATTCATTATTATATATGAAGTATATTACATTTCTCTATTATTATGTAAACATAATAATAGAGAAATGCTATAATTTATCTAATATAACAATCATTAATATGAAGCAAAACCATCAGAAATTTAAGAAGACATGCTACTTGTGTTCACATGAAATTTAATATGTTCATAGATATAACAATGGTAATTTTTTTCTAATAATTGATTTTTTGATTAATCAATAATTTTGTATTCTATAATCAAGATATCGATTAATTGGTTTGATTCAATATTGAATATATTCTAATCGTTAGTGCAGTAGGCCTAAACACAACACACAAAAAAGAAAAAACACCCATATACACACTATGTGATATTACCATACAAAATCCACTTAACCTCACATATTGTAAAAGATTTTTTTTAATTAACAAAAAGATGCAGAAGCACTAGTAGGATTTCATATTGAAAAATGAAAAACAGTGGTGAACAAAGCAGCAGTAATAAAAACTAATTTAGAAGAATAACCTGGAAAATGTAAATTGATAACACTTCTATAGAACTATCAAACAAAACAATTACATTCTATCTCCTTAAATAAAGATAATGTCAAACTAGCAATAACTGTAAAAATCATGTATGCAATGAACATTCATGTTGTGTATGTGTAAATTGTCATAGTAGTAGTTTTTTCATTTCATTTTGTGCAACTTAGAATAATAAATGAAAATTCACAATCTATGCATGTTTTTGTTTATAAACAAATCCAATAACAAAAAGAATAAAATTGCAAAGATGTTTTTAAATTAATATTATTGCAAAACATTACATTGAGCTGTACATTGTAAAAATATATATGTGAAAAAGTACATTGAGCATATGACACTTTGTGTATAAACATACAGATGCACTCATAATCATGTTATGATAGCACACGATATGGGTGTATCTGTTATGCTTCATACACAAAATGTCATGATATGTCATAATCGTAGTTTAATTATGAAAGGAACATAATCAATCTCGGTGATTAATCTGCATTATAAAAATATTGATTAATGCAATTATTTTAATCACGATTTATCGATATTTATCTATTATAAATGATTGACCGATTGTTTAATTTTCATGACCATTGTTTAATAAATGACTGTAATATAGATAAAAATAATGTTAAAATCCTATACAAAGAGAAAAATATGTATAATAGAAAATTTAAAGAAAGTATCTCAATCTTAACAGCCAAAAACTGTATCAAATAAATCTGTAATCTGCAAACTGTATCAAATAAAAATTTAAGTGTAAAAATAAATGAGAATTGGATGAAAATATTATAATATACGCAATATACATTAATGTCGATTGTAATTATCTATAAGAGTTATGCTGTTGTTAATATTAATAATAACTTCCTTTGTAATATGCAAATCAGTACAACACTGCAATGCAGTATGTAATGCAGGTACAGTTAAAAAACAATAATGTAAAAAATTGTCTATTTCGATTTTGAGATGTGTATGTGATTATGTCTAAGACTCCTGGATATTGTCAAATATATAAAAGATCATTTATAACAAATTTTAATGAAATTACTCCACTTATTGTAAAATAAGTTGTGCGCACCAATTAAGACCTTGTATGTATAACAGATTAAAAATGGATATGGTAAGAAATATACATTATTTTAATTCTGTTTTGTAAGATATTTTATGTAATGTTAAAAATTGTATTTTTTTTAGTTGACTGATGAGGGGCTTTATGCCCGAAACATGCTGTTGTCACGTATCAACTAAAAATAATGGAAATAAAGCCAAGTGTTTAATTATAACTCAAATGTGAGTTTGAAGTCCAACATATTCGCAAAACACGGTTTCAAAAACAACATAGATATACTTATAGGAGTGAAAAAACCAAAAAGAAGTTTAGACCCAAGAGTAATTCTTCACAAGATATTCCATTGCAAGTTTCTCTAATATCCCTTCTTATTAAACTAGACATAAAAATACTGTTCATAGATTAAAGAGCCTCTCAAGTGCTCACTAAAAAAACTATAATCTGCATATCATATACAGTGAAATTCCATTAACCTGGCATCCAGTGGACCATGTGTTCTAAATATGTCCGTGAGTAATCATATATTGGCAATACACTCAAATTATATAAGCATTTTTGATTCCCTATTGTCAAATGAGAAACATCAGATTTTAAATATTCTTTTAGATCAGGGGTCGCCAAACTTTTTTAACTGTCGACCCCCAACCACTTTCCAAAACCTCACATTGACCCCCACCGTAAAGTTTTATTATAAGTGTAAGTGTATGAGCAAAATAAAATACGTTGTGATCTCTGATATCTGTATAAGAAAAAAAAACAAGGTTGTAACCCATTGCCACATCGACCCCCTAATCGACCCCCTAGCCGCATCGACCCCCCAATGATGTTGCATCGATATAGACCACTTTGGCGACCCCTGTTTTAGATCAAAAGCCAGTGTACATCCAAAGAAAATTATACTTTGTATCTAGTGGATTTTTAGGAGTTGATCCATTATGTGTTGTTGATCAGCAATCAAAATTATTGTTACAGAGAAAAACTGCTCTCAATTAAACAATTTAAAAACAACTATTAAGGAAGAACAACCTGTACTAATAAAAAAACATGTTCTATCATAACAATGCCAGATCATGCACATCTTTGGTCATTAGACAGAACTTGTTGGAGTTCAGCTAGATGTGCTATTCCAGTGGTTCCCAATTAGCTTTTCCTGTGTACTACTTCAAGAAAGAGCTCAAACTCGCGTACCCCTTATAGCAGAAATTCCTATTAATCCATACTAATATTATAAATTCGAAGGTAATTCTGTCTGTTGTCTGTTACCTTTTCATGTCTAAACCGCTGAACAGGTCTTAATAAAATTTGGCACAGAGATAGCTTACATGTTGGAGATGGACATAGGCTACATTTTACTGCAAGAAAATATCTTACTCCAGCAAGAAAATTCGATATAATATGGGTGAAGCTGTGGATAGACAGCTAGTGATTTTTACATTTATTACCTTTAAAATACAATTCTAATAATAATGAAAACAATATAATTTTAATGCGACAAATGTGCACGATTTTCTTTACACAACTTTGTAAAATCTAGTTGCTTTTTGGTCAGCTTCAGTCTCAAGTCATCTTCGAGTTGAAGTTGGTGACGATGTTTAGTTTTCATGTTTGTCATGGCCTAAAATCCGCTCTCGCAGACGTATGTTGTGCAAATGGTAGTA